TAGAATATTTGTTACAAGACTAGTAAAGCCCTTGTGTGAGAGGAGATCTCTAAGACAAAAAGATGAAGTAAATTTATATTTATCATAATAGAGCCCCCTGAGTAGGCAGCTGAGTGCTGAGATTTATAACAAGTAGGAGAAATGGGTCCATACTGGTGTGGTAATTATTGACTCAAATGGTCTACCAGTACTGGGATAGCACTAGAAGAAACACTCAGGATATTTTTTTATGCTCCCTACTTGCAGATAAAAAGTCTTCTTTACCTCTTCCCTGTCTTAACGCTACAATAAAAGTGTTTTGTTTTAGATATTGAACCTCTTAATCATTTAAGGGGATGCAAGGCAGCTGAGTGAGTTGTTACCTCATCAATACAGCCCAGCCTGTGAGAGCATCCCCTGCTTTATTTGATAGAGAGAGCTGAAAACAGATAGTAAGAGAAGTATATTCAGGAAAAGTCCTTTTTTCTCCAGTGAGCAATATCTAAATGTTATCCAACTGCATCACAATCACCCCACGCTGTTACCCATTCACCACAATGTCACCACTCTCACACACATACATTCGTGCTCCTCCCTCTGTTCTCCCCATCCATTACACATTATCAGCACAGAAACACTTGGGTACACGCTTCCATCCATATAGATTGTACAAACCTTGCGCATTAACAAACACATCATTTTTCACACCCGCGTTGCCCAGTAACGTTATAAGATATGAGACTTTAGAGATAACATTTGTGCTGTGTACCAACATAGAGCATCCTACTCCACTTACCCGAGTGCTTCTGTGACTTCTTTCATCAGACTCATTCCCCATTTATGAAAACCCTTGAGCAGCTCAAAAAATACATTATAAATAAACGTTGTCTGTACTATGCAGACCAGTTCTGCATGTCCTTTTCTAAAGCATCTACTTTGCTAAATTGACTCTGGGGGTAACTTTTTTTTTTTTTTTTAACACAAAATCTGCAATTAACCAATGAGGTGGGGTTGTAGGGGAGGTTCATTAAAACAAGCTGGGACTTTTTAGCAAATTGCTGATTTGGAACAGCTGTTATTTTTCAAGGGAAAGAATTTGTTTAGAAGAATTTTCAATGTAAAGCAATGCTGAAGAAAATGTATAATTTGTCAAGGCATTCATTTTTTAAATAAAATGCTTGGGGGGGGACCAAAATTACTTTCATATTGACAGTGAAGTTAGAGTAATAGTAAGTAAAAGTGACAACATCAACACAAAATTTTTCTACATTATTAAAATGCAATTTTTGATAGCCCCAAATAATTTTCTTCTCCTCCCCATTCCCACGCATCTAATTTTTGACTTGGGGAAAAAAAAAAAGGAAAAGAAAAATTCAGCTTTTGAGTCCGAGTCAAGAATCTGATCTTTATCAGAAGCTATGAGGCACACCACGCTAAAAAATGAATCCATTCGAGGGAAAAACTGCAGCACGCCACTAGAAAATCCCACCCACCAGTGGCGCTGGGGTGTGTAGGTACTTTTAGTCCTCCAGCCCCCACAGGGCAGGAAGGCCAGGGCACCATGCTGGAGGAACAACCATCCCACCTCCGAGCCACCTGCCTCCCAACGAAGCCTGGAAGCACAGCAGCAGAGGAACACGAGAATCCTGAACCCGCAAAATAAAGGAAACATAGTGATTAGAAAAAAAAAAAAAAGAAATTAAAAAAAAAGGAGAAAAAATCCTCTGTGGAGGGCTCGGAGCTGCTAACCTAGGGGAGAAGGAGCAAAGCCTGTCTCTGTGCCAAAGCCCCCAAGCCCAGGCAGGCAGGGGACAGGCAACCCCATTGCGTGTCCCCCGGCAGGGGCACGGGAGGAGGCAGCCGGTGTCGGCCACTTGGCACTGCGGAGCCCTCAGGTTCTCCTGCCAGCCTCAGCTCGGCCTCCTCCCCTGTTCCTCCCCTGTTCCCCTTCCTTCCTCCCCAATTCAGCCCCAGCTCGGCCGTGCCCAGCAGCACCAGTATCGCTCCCCTTCACCCCCACCCTGCGTTGGGTGGCTTTGGGAGAACAGCAAAAGACGAGGAGCTGCTTCTGCGTTCCCCGGTACACCCCCAAGTGGACAGCGAGGAAAAGGGGGAGAGGAGGCACGGGCGAGTTTTGGGTGGCTTGCAGGGGTGCAGGCTCAGCCGGCTGGCTCCGGAGGGATGCGCTCAGAAAGCACTGGGAAGCGGCCTGACGGGGGTCACCGCCTGTCAGAGCCACCACTGCGGGTTCCTAGGGTAAGAGCTCCACAGAGTTTTGCTCAGCAGGGCTACGGGAGTGTTCAAGGCTTGTTACCACAGCTTTCAGTGAATAACAATTAATTTGAAATAAGCAGTTGTGTTTTTTGTTGTTTGTTTGATGGGTTTTTTTTAAGGCATGATACTTTCCCACCCCCTTTTAACTCCTTCAGGTATCTTCAGGCTTGCTTGCGAGGTGCCCTGTTCCTCCTATGCTCCAATATTCCTGCTGTCCTATCCTCTCACCCTCCACATCAGAGAAAGGAAATTAGTGCTGGCTACGAAAAGAGATCCAGCAGCAGACTGGGTCTGGTTTACATCAGATTTGAAGTTTGGGAGCAGTAGAAAAAGCAGCTCCAGGTCTGCAAATCACCTCCACCCCATCCCAAAAACCAGGGAAGGCAACTGTGTTTCCTCTGCCTTCTCAGAGGGTACCTCTTAAGACAGCCCTCAAAGGACCTTCCCCGATGCCTTTAAAATCGGAATAGATGTGGCTGATACAACCATGGCAGTAGTAACTCACTAAAACAGAAGGTAAAAGCCTGTAAATGCCTGTAGCCTGGCATAAGGTACAGCTATAAGAAAGGACTAAACCAGCTCCTAGTTGTGCTAGCATCAGGATGCTCTGCTTGCAACTCGGGGAAGGCTTGTGACTTGGAAAAATTCTGTGGAGCAAGCGCCATTGACTGCTGGCTGGGAAACATGCATCAGAGAGAGGCAATGTACAGAGTCGATGTGATTTGCCAGTGTCCATCTTCCTTGACAGGTCTGTGCCTACTCCTCCAGAGCAGAGGGAAGTTCGTATCAAGCCACCAACTTCACTGCTGACATTAGCTACTGTATGTTACACAAGTACTGGTTCTCCTCTCACCCCACGTACATCCTATGTGCTGGAAAAAATCCTCCTCCCCTGCCAGAAATAGCCACTTCACAGCAAGCAAGTCAGCTGGAAGGTGCTGGTGCCGGATTTGCAATCCAGAGTTCAGAGAATGCAAGTCTGAGAGAAAATATGTGACAGTGAAAAGCATGTGTATGCAACCCAGAAACGGAAGAAGTGAGAATGTATGAAAAGGAGCACTTGGTAAATGTGAGAGGGTGGCAGAAAAATGGGGGATTGCATAGTGAGTGCTTGTAGTAGTGACAGGTAAGTGTGAAGCTGTAACAGAAAGCGTGTGTGACAGGGAGCATGCCTGTATGGGAATTTGCTTAGTAGATGTAAAATAGAAGAGGATAGTACATGCAAGACTGTGTAAAAGTAGCAGCTAAGGAGAACTGAGGATGCTGTGACTGGGTATATGTCTGTGCACGGCACTTGTGCACTACAATACGCACAAGAGAGTGAGAGAAGAGCGCTCTGTGTGTGGTGAATACAGTCAGTCAGAGCGAGACACCCTCTAAGTGTGCAGCTCACTGTGAATGCACGACTGTGAGGCACAGAGTAGGCCAGATAGGGTACATATATATTCTTTATTTATATATTTACCTATGTGTGTGTATATGTGTGCATGCATGCAGGCTTACAAGGCTGGTACAGCAGGGATTTCTATGTGCAAGCAACCACAAACACTAGTGGCTTGAAGCACAAAAAAAGCAAGCAAAAGAAAAGGCTTGAAGGAGGTGGCGGGGAGG